TACCGACCGAGTCATTGCAGGCCTCATTAATGAATGCTGTTAATAAAAAATATTCTTCAATAATTTCGTCAATAGTTCTGAAGAAGTTTTTTGCATTCATTGCTTGCCAGTTATTCATCATACGTGTAAGACTGAAGTTCATTTTGCAAATAATAACTATGGCCTTCCAAATGTGTATATTTGGATAATACTCCAATAGTTAAATATAATTACTAAACATACGGAACAAATCTTGAAAAAAAAATTGCACGCCATTAACAGAAGAAATGTTACAATTGTACTAACAGTAAAGCTTTTAATTCGACATCCAAGTGGAATCGGATTGAAAAGCTCGTAGAAGTAAAAAAGAGGAAAAGGGGTACACAGTCAAAAAATGAATATTCAAGAGCATGATATCATCCGCGATCTATACATGGCATCGTGCACCCCTGTGCTTCGATAACGTTTGGATTACCTGTTTGGTAAGCTTCCGACAAAGCATTCTGTACTAACAGATACTCAGTAAATTCATAATTGATCCAAAGCAAAAGAAATAGATTATACCAATAAGTAGCCAGGTGAATCAACGATCTTCTTATTCTATTCAATGTATGCGCAGCGTATATTCTTCTTGAAATAAATCTGCAGCTGAAATGTAGTACAATATATTGAGAAATAGAAAAAATTGTATGATTTTAATGTTCTATATTAAAAACTTCTGGGTGAAGGCTTTCTTATTTAGTTTGCATAAGTCCGTTAAAGTTTCTGGAACTTCCAGAATGAAATCTAAAAAGGCAATACAATATAGTATTGACGGTGACCTCAGCCTCTGGAGTAATTCATTCGCTGCAGCATTGTTTGGTGCAAATTCTTCTAAAGTAGCAGCAATAACCATTATTTGCTCAGTCAGTCGATGTAATCGAACTTTACACACGTCATATAAAAAAATACAGTAGGATATACGCTCGCACATAAACGTCATACGAGACAACAGTCTACTTTCCCGCACTTGTATCGTAATGTACTAATCAAAATTTTTCGGTAAAGGTTCAATTCCTTTTCGACTCAGATTCACTATTATTTTTGGGGATTTGAATGTGGATTTTAATTTTAGAGGTAGTATGAAGATAATATAGAAAAAATGATTGAAGTAATAAATGATATTATATTATAAGGTACTTGAATAGCTTTGACTTAATCAGAAGCTTTCATCTTTATAAATATGTTTATAAATGGATATCTTATCTAATGTATAACAAAACAACTTATTCTCCATCCTTCTCCCTCCTGCCCTCTTACAAAAAAAACTTGTCAAAACAAAAGCAGTTCACAAGCAGAGCGATAGGCGACTAATATTTTAAGAAGTGTGTAATTGGCTAATGAATTTATTATAAACTGATCGAATTAATTATTAACAGTTGCAAATAAGATTTTATTTAATTTTTTATGTAAAGTTACTAGGGGAAGAACGCGTAGATTCATACGTTAAAGTAATAAAAAATAATTATAAACTGATCTTTGTATGTTGGTTATGTGAAAAATTTCGATGTAAAAAACAAAAAGCGAGAGAGGTTACTCGATTAACAATTAATCAAAGAAACGTGTTGTGCATTTATGTAGTGAAGTGAAAACTATACTTGTATTATATATATTAGTATTAGAAATTTCTTAATCTATAGATTATAAAATATATATATATATATATATATATATATATATATTATATATTAATTAATTTTATATTTAGTTAATTGCAAGAAGAACCAATAGAAAAAGGTAAGGAGTTTATAGTTTTTGAGGTAGTTTTAAAACAAAAGCCTTTAACAAATAATGCTATTATTTTAGTCGTAAGAAAATAGTGAATTATATCGTTTCGAGTGAAACTTTCTGTCTGCAAATAATTTACTTCTTCTTTTGTAATATATATATATATATATAATAATTTACTTCAATAATTACTTAATATATATAATTAAATATATATAATAATTTACTTCAATAATTATTTAATATATATAATTAAATATATATATAATGACATTCCCAGTATCACCAGTGGGATTAGCACTGTCTCAATGATCGATGGGTATGGTTGAGACCGTACATGTTAGGCTTGACTCGCTCTAGATGTATAGTATGCCGAAGAAGTTTTCATTTCCAATATTAGAAGTGTTATAGAACATGAAGAATCTGAACTTCATCAGAATAATATAGCACAAATCAATGTTCCAATAGATCCTGAGTTCGACCCACATTTGGATGAAGAGGCATGTTATCACAAAAAAGCCACCATAACAATCCTGCTTGCAGCTTGGTTTTCTGGTGAAGGAATATCTTATAAAAAAACTGACACGATACTTCCATTGATAAAAAAAATTGCTCGTTATCCAGGTGTACTTCAGGATGTTAAATTAACGAGAACAACAATGTTTACGATTGTAAAATGTGTTGTTGCTCCAGTGCACAAACAATAAATTGCTCGAACGCTGTCAAGATCGAAATTTGCAACCCTTTTCGACGAATCTACGTCAGTTTTCAACGATAAATCTGGATGCTTACTTCTTCGCTTTGCTGATGATCGATCGTATCAAATTAAAACTACATTGTGGGACTTAATTCTCATATACAGAGATGATGACGAGCATATGACGCGATGGCGGAATCGCAGTATAATTTGACTATACAGTCATTGATCAGCCGACCAAATGCGAGAGAAGAAAATAAACCTGCATTTTGGCGAACTGATTATGTTGCATCAAGTACAGATAGATGCAATACCATGATTGGTGTAAATAATTCAGTTAGTTAAAGATTATACGACAACTTCGAGCGTATCAATCACATAACTTGCCCGTGTGATGGTGCTCACTTATGCACGAAGCACTTTATGGAAGCGTATTTTGCAGTCATCTTACATTTATTAAAAGATGTTTATAATTGGTTTGTATCTGCAAAACGATTACATCGTTTACTACATCATCAGATACAGTTCAATTTAGATACTCACAGACTTTGACGGTTCGTTGATTCTCGTTGGCTGAAAGAATTGCCATCATTACACCAAATAACTGAGCAAATAATGGCTATTGATGCTACTTTAGCAGAATTTGCATCAAATAATGTTGCAGCGAATGATTTACTCCAGAGGCTGATGTCACCATCAATACAATGTTGTATTGCTTTTATATGTTTTATTCTAAAAGTCCCCGAAGATTTTAATGGATTTTTGCAGATTGAAGGAGTCATTCTTCCGGAAATTTTTAATAGAATTTGCGCTGATTTTAAAGACATAGTATTATGTTACATGGAACATGATTACGTTGAAAATATTGACTTGATGTATATTGATTTACAGAATCCTGATCATTTTTTGCCCTATAACGATATGCAAATTGGCAATGAAGCTCGTCGTATTAGTATGTTTTAAATTTCATTCAATTATCACGCACTATCAATAACGTTATTTCCGATTAAAACTACAATATAATATATACTATAATAATATAATAAAACACTAATATGATACAATTTTTTGTATTCTTTAATATCTTTTTCTATATTTCAGGTGCAGATTTACCTCAAGAAGAATATGCGCACATAATGGATAGAATAAGAAGATCGTTGATTCACCTGGCTACTCATTGGTATAATATACTTCTTTTGCCTTGGGTCAGATATAAATGTACTAAATGCCTGTTACTACAGAATGCTTTGTCGGAAATTTACCACATTAATAATCCCAATATTATCAATGCACTTATGCAATAATTTCCTCATTGCTTTCCTGAATGGATTGAAGAAATTATAGCAATGGAGTGGCATTTATTAGTTCACAATGAGCAAGATTTTGTCAACGCTTTACCGAAAAACGTAAGGACTGATTACTTTTGGTTCGCCGTACGAGACATTCAGGAAGGACTTGGGTTTCACTGTATACAGAACTAGCTGATTTTATGCTCAGTGTACTCTGTACTCTTCACAGTAACGCACAACCAGAACGTATCTAGTCCAAAGACAATTATATAAGAAACAAATAGAGAAATAAATTAAGTTTGGCTTCGACGCTATCAATTTTAATGATTAAAGAAATGCTCGCGTTAAGAAATTGTAATAAAAAAGTAGAAACATTTATACCTGACGCTGACATAATCGCGAGAGTCAGGAATAGGATTCACAATATATAAGAAAACGTTCTCGACAATAATAATAATCAAGGTGAGGAAGAAAGGAAAAATATAGAAGAGGACGCCTCAGATGCATTCGATAGTGATTATTCAGTTGAAGATGGGCAATAATTGTAATAATCGTATTATACCTTTGTAATGCGGTACATTACAAGGCTTTGCCTGTGAGTGTTGCATTATTTGCAACACCTCAGGAAAGCCATCCTCGTATTGTTTACTATTTAATAGCAGCAGTAAGTTTATTTGACCTACTACTTCATGGTTCTACATTTTTCTTACACAGCTTAGTGCGCATGCGCGACTTATATATTGTACAGTATACATTGTATACAACGGCAAAAAGAACTCCAGTAGACAAAAACACCTCCCTTTCTCTAGCCTACAAAATGTAGTGGACAGTGAAAAAAAATACCATTCGAAATATCTCTAATTAAACCCTCCCAAATGATCAATATTTTAATTGAACCCTTTAAGTTGTCCTAAAAGTAATTAAAAACTATGTACATTTTTGGTTTTTTGCACCTGCTATATTTTTAGCAATAATTAATATTTTTGCAAAGAAACACGATATAAAAATTGAACCCTTGCTTATTTTAATTGAACCCCCTCTTATTTTTTTAAAATTATCAATATATACGTCAAAAACAACTATCTACTACACTTTATAGGCTAAGATAAAGGGGGTGACAAAATCGCAATACCAAGATCATCTTTTCTCTCTTTCTATTGGTCTCACGTTCCCGTTTACCAGTACCTTAGACTACACTATCTATAATATCTCTATGAAGCGCACATGTCTATGTTTATACTCGGTAGTAGACTCGTAGACAAGTTCAGTTCCATTTTTTATTCATGTAGTTTACAGTATCAAAAAATATACAAGATATTTTTCTCTCTCTGATTTATATGGAAATTGAATGATAACTATTGTTTATGCTAAATAATTACATCCTGCGAAATAGAATATATTAAGTTACTCTGGAAAAGAATAACAAGTATTCTTGAAGTGCATGAAGAGCAACATTTTACATAGAAATTAATTAAAAAGTTTCTTTTTATTAAAATACTTATACTACTAAGATTTGTGATTGTTTATGATTGCTACATAAGTATCTTTATCAAAAAGTTTTTGATACAGTAAAGATGTTATATTACATTTTAGATATCTATAAATTGTGTAAAATGCAATCTTTTTCATGTTATAAAAATATTTTTTGTTATATTCTGACATTCATGAAATCAATAGCAAATGTGAATATTTAATGATTTAATGAGATTACTGATTTAATTAACAAAATTAATTTTTATTGAAATAACTAGTTAAATAAGTAGATGTACCCTCTAAATCTTAGGTATTGCTCAATTAAATTTTAAGTAGTATCTGATTAGTGATAAAATTAATTTTTTTCTCTTACCATTATAGTTAGCAATATTACAATCATATAAGTAATATTTATGAATACATGATATATCAATTATACGAATTATGTATGTGTGTGTGTGGTAATATTTGATTATTAATAAAATATATCATTTTCTGTCACAGGTCCATTCAGTTTAATATAAATGAATGTATACATGTATATACACATATAGAGTTTATTATTAGTTCTTTTTTCTTCATCCACAGTAGTTGATTATTGACTAATTCTTACTAAATGGTAAGTATACGTACACATCTGAATTTTATTATATAATCTTATTTAAAAGATTTGTATTAATATAAGACAATGACAAAAGAAATAAATTTTAAATAATTATGTTTCTGAATTATTAACTTGAAAATATCAAATTAATATTCAAGTGTTATACAATATGTAGTATACTTTTAGACAATATTTTATTCAAAATACATAAATTAATCTTGAACTCTATCAGAATATTATTCCAATAAACAAATTTGGTAATAATCAAACAAGAAACATTGATAGATAAAGGCATCAATAATAGGCTACACTCAGATAATTTTACAAATCAAATTGATGGAAAATATATTTGAATGATTAAAATAAAAAAAAGAAACAGTAATAATATTTTATTTTTCAAATAGAATTTTATTTTCTATACCCTATAAAAAAAATAATTAATGTTCAGAAGAAAATCTGTTATTTACAAAAATCTATATAGTTAGTTATGTGTTTTAGTATTAAGTTAGGCTTTGAGCTAGGAAAAATAGGTACATCTTTTGTTAATTAATAAAGCATACATTGTCTCAATTCATTCATATTTATTAAAGTTAATAAAGATATGAATAACTACTTGTGCCTTGTCAACTATTAGTGCTTTTACTTTATGACTAACATCGTAAATAGTAATATTGTAAATATGTACATTTAGTATTTTTATTTATAAAATGGTATTGAAGTATTTGTCTAAAATAATAATAATATTTTAGTATTTCATTTAATAAAAATTTAACAAAAGATGATTATCTGTGATTAGTAGGAGTGAGATCTTTACTACTTTAAAATTAATGACAAAGTGGGTATTGTACTTTACAGATTTATTGATCAGAATAATACAGAGTCTTCCAGAATCCTCTGAAGTGTAATAGTAAGTCCCTATATACAGGTACTCACTCGCACTCTTTTATATGGCAAAACACATAAAATTCACAAGCAAAGGATCCCCATAAGGGGAGCGCGCGTCATCAAGAACGAAGTCGAGTTTTAATTACACATTAGCTAGATTGAAGAGATTATTTCTCCATAAAAATTTAAATTTCCCGCTCTTCTATTGCTTGACTTGTTCCCGACGTCACACATGTGCCGTACGGTATTTTTTTATAGGACGATTTTCAACGCACTTTCCACACGTCGTATAAAAAAATACGGTACGGCAGATGTTCGGGAAAGAGTTTCTCGTCTCGTGTACCTTGCCACCCTCGCTTCGCTCGGGCGTAAGCGCCACACGAGACAAGAATCTACTTTCCCGTAATTGTATCACAATGTACTATTTTTCTCTCTCCTTCTAGTCAGTCTACTGCTGATCCGTCGGCTACTTTAATTTTGCCTGTTGTCGTTTTTATCTTACTCGTGCGTACACGCTTATCTGTACGCTTTTCTGCACGCTTGTTTGCACATCACCGCATATCTGCTTCTCTCTGTCACTTACGTTACTCGTTGTTCCGCAGCGAAGAAGTAGTTCCTCGTGCTGTAAGTAAAATCTTAAGTTTTCCCTTGAATAGTTGAATGCTATACGTCCAGACTGTTTTAAGTACAGCTTTATATAGCAGCAGTTTGTTTTAAATGGACAGCTCCGATTTAGTTCCGATGAGCCAGTATATTTTTCTCCATTTTAGACCCAACATTTTGTTATTTAGTATGTTTAGTAAATATATGTTCATTACATATAAGTCTTCAGTCTAGGTGAATACTTAGCTATTTTACTGGATTGCTTTGCTAAATATATTTACCGTTTAATTCGACAGAAGAACAGGTATTTTTTTGAATTGTGAATGTCGTATGTATTGATTTGCCCTCATTTACTATTATTCTCCAGGAATTAAACCAATTTTGAAGGAGATTATTTATGTAGTTTATTAGTTATTTGATTACTATTCATGCTTCTGGGTGTACTGTTGAAATAGCTATTTCATCTGTATATGTTGCTATCAAGATATTAACAAATCTAGTCTTGGACCTACAACACGGTGCTGGGGTACTCCTGCTTTTATTTTTTTATTATTAACCGACGTTTTGACACACGTTTATTTATTTTAACTTAATAAGCTCTATAATATACCAGTGCAGTATTATTTATCTTCGATGGCTTTCCTCGCAACAGATACTATTCTGTTTATTTGTTTAATCGTGGAGTGGTTACACCTGAAACCGAATTGACGATCAGGAATAAGTTTTCTATTTAATATTATTGATTTAATTCTAGTTAGGAATAATTTTTAGAAAGTGCTGATAAAAGGCTAATCGATCTATATGAAGCCACCAGTTCTGATTCTTTACCGGGTTTAGGTATTAGAACAATTTCTGTTTCTTTCCATTGGAAAGGAAAATAGCAAAGACGCAAGTATGCATTGAAAGAATTGTTAAGTATCTTATTGCAATTGTAAGTAACATTTTGATCATATTTCCTGTGATATTATCAGAACTGGAAGTTTTTCTATTTTTAATATTATTAATAATTTGTAATACTTCCTTTATTTTAATCGATTTGATTGGTGTATCGTCTTGAACGTCAGAGCCTTCTAGTAAGATTTCTTCTTCTTTTTTGGTGATTATTCTTTAGTAAGGCTTAAATACCGTACAAAGATGATTTGCAACTGTTGCAACGTTTTTTCTCGTCCGATTTTGCCTAGTTATCACCAGGTTTTCTAATAGGCGGTATAAATATAGTTGATATTTTAAGTCGCTTTCCATAATGAGTAATCTGTTGCTTCTGTAGGACTCAGTGATCTGAAATAATTCTACATTTGTGTGATTTTTTTCTTCATATTACATTTTCTTTAGATCTTTGGATGCTTTATTTACTTCAGTTTTTACTTGACTTAATTTATTTATCTGACACTTTTTTCTTGATAATCTTTTTTCATTGATTTGTTAGGCTATTTTAGTGAACGTGATTTGCTGTATTCTATTTTTATTTATTGTTGTAGAGCATTTGTTAATAGTTTCATTTAAAATTATATGGAGTGAATTGATGCTGCTTTTTACATTATTAGCTGTTTTAAGAGAAACGTTGCACGTTAGCAGGCCAAGCTATGGGTAATTTTTTATGAACTTAATACTAGCAGGAAATCGATTGCACCAATATAAGAAAAGTAGTTAGTTTATTTATTTACAACTTATATGTTACATTTGGTTTACATTTCTTATATTGCTATTTGTGTCTCGCATCCAGTTTGTGTATTTGATTATGTATGTGTTTTGTGTGTGTGTGTGTGTGTGTGTGTGTGTGTGTGTGTGTGTGTGTGTGTGTGTGTGTGTGTGTGTGTGTGTGTGTGAGTGCGCGCGTGCGTGTGTGCGTGTATGTGTTGTGTAAATATGTGCCTTTGTAGGTGTGTCTGCAACTCTTGTGTCCCTGTCTTCTGCGCCTGTCTGTTCTTCTTTTCTTCTCATTTTTCTTCTGATTAATCTTCTCTTCCTCTTTCTCTCTCCAAGATCTGCCTTTTCCGCTCTTCTGTTTTTTTTTTTTTTCTCTCTTTTTTGCATATTTTCTTTTCAGCTTTTTCTTTATTACTTTCTTTTGCCTTTTCACCTTTGCCTTTCCTTTGCTTTTGCTCTCCTTCTTGCTAATCATTTCATCTATCTTTCTCCTTATTAAGGCTTTGACACCTTTTCCTTGTTTCCTATTGCTTCCCCTGCCTTTCCTTTCCTCAACCTCACTTATTTTTCCTTAGTATCTTACGCTTTGTCTTCTAGTTTACCTTTTTCTTTCTCTTCTTCGATTCTTCTTCTTTTCCATTTTGCTCCATCCTCCAATACCTGCTTCCTCTCGCTTGTGTAGTTGCTGTTACTTGTGTCTTGTGTGTGTGTACATGTGTATGTTTATGTTTGCGCGTATGTTCGTGTTTGTGTGTATGTGTGTATGTATGTGTGTGTAGATGTGTCTGCGAATCTTGCTTCTCTGTCTTCTGTTTCCGTCTCTCCTTAGGGTCTTGCAGCTTCGTCTTCTTGCTTTTCTTTTTCTTTCTTCTCTTCGTTTCTTCTTCTTTTCCATTTTATCTCCATCATCCACACTATCTTTTCTTTGCTTTCTATTATTATTTTTTCCCATTCTTCCCCTTCCTTTCTACTTTTTTCACATTTTTCTACCATGTGCTTCCAATTTTCTTCCTCTTTCATACACATTCTGCTCTCTCATTTTCTTCTTTTTCCCAATATCTGCTTCCTCTCGTTTCATTATCTAACCTAAACCTTTCCCTTATTTGCAGGCCTTTTATTCTTCCCTCTCCTTGAATTTCCTTTAACCTATACCTTTTCATTTCTTCTTTCAGCTCTTTCCACTCGTTTATGTATCTTGATTTTTCTAGTTTTTCTTCTAGTTCTTTTTCATCTTTTTTCCTTAGCTCATCTCTTATTTCTTCCCAAAACTCTTCCCTCATTTCATCTCCCTCTTCCCTCTCTCTGTATATTTTACTTTTTTCTAACCTTTCCTCTCTCTTCTCCTTCTTACCCTTTTTATCTTTTTCATTTCTTTCCCTTTTCTTTAATTCTCTCCATGCTTCTTTTTTTATTAAGCCATTTCTTTCTTCTCTTATTTTGTTTTCATACTTCATTGCTCTTTCTAATGCTGCTTCTTTCATTTCTTGTCTTCCTGTTTTCCATCGTATTAGATAACTTGGCGTGTTTCTATCTAATCCTAATACCCACTTTATGTATTTTAGTTGTAGTCTCTCTATTTCCTCATATCTCTTTCATCCCCAGATTTCTGCTCCATACATAAACACGCTTTTCACCAGAGCATCGAACAGGTTCATCCTTAGCTCCCAGTTTTCTCTAAATAGCTTTTCTCCTAGCCCCCATAGCCTTCCGAGTCCCATATTTATTTTCCCTTCTACCTTTTTATCTGCTTTTTATTTCCGTTATTTCTGCTTATCACATATCCCAAGTAGTTGTGCTCTTTCACCATCTCTATCTTCTCACCTTCCCATTCGAATTCTTCTTCCTTCCCCCTTCCTCCTCTTCTCCTGCATTTCATCATC